ACTGGATGTAAAGAGAACCTGCTCATCGATTGATGCGAAATGCAGGACTCAATACAGTATAAGTGTAACCTCTTTATGGCCTGGATCTATTACCGCACGGCATTTGATACAACATCGCATGAGCTCATCTTGCATTTGTTCAGATGTCTTGCCGAACCCAACAAACTAGTGAAATGCTCTGATTAATTGATACCGCTCTGGCGAACTCGCTTCACCATAACATCTTGTCAGCCTTCTCTTCTGCATCACCGTATTGCCATTATCCGTTGCGCTCAGAAATACTCGAGTATCACTGTGGCACCCCTGGAAACCGGAGGTACAAGGTTCTCTATTTGTTTTATATGTATGATTTTGAATTTATGCTTATATAGAAAAGGATTACCATCAGTCCTTGAGGGTGGTGAAAGAGTACACTCATGCTATCGGTACGAAATCCGGGATTGACAAATGTGCAATGGTCCATCTTAAAAAACGACGATGCGGGGACTACGGAGAAGATGTGCAGCTCGTAGATAGAGGCATCCTGCACCATCTAGATGCAGGAGAGACGTATACTCACCTCAAGGTGAAATAACGCCACTCACGAGAAGTAACAACAGTGAAGAACTCTCTTCGCGGCAAGTATCAGCACACGTTAAAAGGTAAGACCTCATTAATCCTTAGCTGGCACAAGTTGTGCCAGCTAAGGTGTCGTGGTTGTCGTTCGTAGGGGTGCGACAGCTGGTTAACGGAAAAACAGATTTTAAACAGATTTTTTAAACACTCCAACAAATCTGGCCATCGGAACTGTCGAGAAAGAATAAAGTTGCTGCAATGAATATGCTAGCTATTCAAAACTCACCCCAATCTTTTGGAGCGTGGTCCGCGACCATGAGTGAGTAGGAACTGGAATATTTCTTTAGAGGGCAGCTGCAATGATCACTTCACTCTTGCGGCTATACAAGAATGAGCCTATGCATGAGAACTTCTTCAACAACATTGAAGACCGAATGCACTAGCATTAGGGTTTCAGAAAAAACTTCAGTATTCAAACTTCTTTCACACAATTAATCAAAACAAATTGAATTAAAAAAATACACCACTGCAATAAATCACAGTGGCTTTTGTGTACGATTATATAAATCAGTCATATTATTATAATAGTAACATTTGAAACGGAATTCTAATTAGAATCAAAATTACAAATAGACATTAATGAAACTACAGACTCATGGATAATGATGACTGAATTGCACTATCAAATAAACTCATGAATCTATAATCTTGGGTACTGGTTACTATTTTTTAAAGGTTTAGTAAAGCAGTACGTTTCCATAATCATAATTCCACAAACTTTTAACAATGCTATGGAAAAACAACTAAGTTGGTCGACTCTTTTGCTAGAAAATTAAACTTTAGTTCGACTTTGCCTAGTGCCATAACTATGGTTGTGTAGTTGAAAAATTATTTTATTTCCAAAATTCAATAGGATATATAGGCAATATATTTGTTTAATGTCAAATGTTCAAAATTTGTTGATGAATTGTCTGTAATGTTGTTACGTTATCCGTAAAAGATACCTATTTATTGTCGCTTGCCCACGTACTAGTAGCTCATATCAAGATCATAAACAACCACCCGATAGCTGCTGCCACTAACGGAAAAATTAGAAACTTTGTTGGTCCTTGACCAAGGTATTTCAATCATTTTCAGTTGGAAATCGACAATGATACTTGAACTGTGAATTTAACTTAGGGATTTTCGTAAACGCTATAAGCGGTTGTAAATCACATGTTCACAGAAACGGATTCGTAATAGTGCTGATTTGGAAGGTTGAGAATTCCGTTTTCTTATCTCTTCGGAGGATATTTATATCAGTTTTTTTCAACTGTATATGAAAACGTCTTCGAATTATTAGGGTTCGATAATCGGAGGTGAGTTTTCAAGTATTATTCCTTGTGTCATAACAGGACAACAATATATCCCATAATACGAGGAATCTAACAATAATTTAATTTCAGGCGTTTTTATTTAATAACTTTTTGTACCACCCAGAAAAACCCGATATTATTATACGAACAGTCATTTGGGGACAAGGAAATGAAGAAATGACACATGAGATTTCATCCTCTTCCTTGATGGAGCAGCGTAATAGTGCCGTATTACAGCTGGCCCTTTGGAATCGAGGCTAAGTACCGCATAGCGGCATTAAGGACTTTCCTTTTCAGTGAAAATTTAATATATATATTATTTTTTATATTAATACCTTCACATTTCACATTACCAATATCATGTCTTCCGGTCAAATTTCTCTTCAGGAATTTCTAACTAGAAAATAAGTTTTCCCCCTCGTTGTGCAGGAGATTGGAAGGGTAGTTTTTTTTTTCCCAAGCACCCTGTCCAGTGTTCTCTGTCGTGCACGACCCCCCTCCGTGGTTGGCTATTATTTATTAGTTACGGTTTTCCTTGCACATTGCCAAACCCTGTGTGAAAATATGTCGACATATCCATTTGCCAAATTTTGAGTTTTATTGGGGCATTACTGTATCGTGGATAATTTATAGATTTGGATCTGCTTGCTATTACATTATATAGGGTTAATAGTAAATCTGTTGGCGCCCTTGGAACATAAATCATTTGTATAACTCACCCCCCCTCTCGCTGTCTAAAAGCTAGCTGTGAGCAAATAACCCTATCCTGTTTATATCTAAAATACCCCACATATGAACTAATGATTGAATAAATAAGTAATAAGAAAAAAATATTACGTAACAATGTAACCTTCAGGTCTACCTAATATTATTTTCATAATCTAGCACATTGAGACATTACTGTGATACCATACCCCTTTCTCTATGATACCATAGAAAGAAGTAATGATCTATTTTCAGATGTGATTTGTCTAAAAAATTTTTCAAGAACCCAAATCTCGAATTTCACTAAATTTAATTCGGTTCCTCTTTTCCTTAGCCCTGTTGTTGAGAACTCTCAACAACATTTTTCCAAATACGGACCTGCCAATCAGAATGAATGCATTATAATTTGAAAAATACCCATCTCAAAATGGTGTATACATTAAGCAATTGTTGAAATCACTCATTTCACTCCACAAACAATAATATCAGGTTTTTTTTTTTAATTCCTGTCATCCATTTTGCATATATTTTATTGGAAAATAAATTCCTTCAATTGGATGACCATGTGTAATTCAACAAGGCCTGGTGATATATGATAAGATAATTGACAGATATGTTAAAAAAGTGGATGATTACCGGGTTTGTGAAGGCATGCTAGAAAAAAATAACAGAAGTAAATTTATATTCAGGCGTTTGTGGTTAACGATGTTATGATTTGATAAAAAAAAAGGATAATAGTTTGAGCAAAAAAGTGCTAAATCTGTCAAATGTATACTCAATCGAGAACCTGTGAATTCGAACAGGTGTGTACACAATAAAGAGTTTTCAGAGGTGAACGCAATTGAGAGGCAACTGATGTGAGGACCTTATTATAGTACTCCTGAAGGTCATAGTGTGAAAAGTTATAAATATTTTGATAACTTCTGGAATATAAAAACCATTTGAAACTTAAAAGAAGGGACCTTCACTACTATTATATCAGGATGAGCGCATAGGTGAAAAATACAATGTATAATTGTACCTCGTTTCAAGTTTCTTCAAAATTGAGTGAAAACGGCACAACTATCATTTGATATGAACGTAGAAACGCTGTAAAACTTATTCATCACTCAATTTTTTTCTTTATTTTTGTATTTTTGTTGTTCTGACTAAGCATGCGACATTGCATTTGGATTCCAGGACATCGTGATCGACTAGAGGTTGCATATCTTAATGACATTCTAGAAGTAATTTCGAATTGGTTTGAAAATAACCAGATTTTCAATGCCACAAAAACCCAAGCATCGGTTTCATCCAAGAAGATAAATGTCTCCGAACCGGATATAATAATGTCAGACAATTCCGCTTTCTGCTTTGATGAGTTTGTTGGGGGTTAAAATGGACACCAATATGTCTTGACACAATCATGTTGCTGGAATTGCAGAGGCTGCTTCTCAGAAGCTTAGAACACTGTTCCGAACCAGTAAACTGTACACACCTCAGCAAATTTTGATGCTCTATAAAGCTCAGATCAGACCTTCTTTGGAGTATTGTTTTCAAACGAACATCACGTGCAACCTTGATAGCCTGGAACATCGAAAGGTTGGAGATTTGTCTCTCTTCTATAGATATTTTCAAGTGTTCAAGTGACTTGGCATATTTGATTCCACCAAGAGCAGTACAGAAGTACGTATCAGAAATGAGCGACGAAACGTGGTAGCTCATAGTTTCGAGGTTCAACTCGATACACCTCGAACTTTACTGTTTAAGAACTCTTTCATCTGGAGAACTACGTTTATATGGAATAATCTTCCTGAGAAGGTTTTTTCAAAAGGATTTGACCTCCAGCGATTCAAATCCAATGTGAATCGCTACTTTCGCACAGGCACCGCTCTGAGAGCTCCTCAAGGATTTTTCTGTAGTGCTTGTATTTTGTCCTTCAAAAAAAAAGGAAGTACTAAAGGTCGATTTGATGGTTAGTTTCAAAATTATGGAGCATTTTTATTAAGATTGAGTAGTACTGATTGAATACTTATGTCGTATATTCATTTATGTACCTTTTTCTGTCTTACAAAAATCATATACATCATATACACTTTCATTCGAAATGGAGAAAAATATATTTAATTTCCTGATGAATAAACCATTCTCTCAGAGAACTAACAAATATTAAGGATTTTTTTTCGGAAAATATAACGGCCCATTACTTCATTTCTGACGTTCTGCCTCTCAGACTCAAAATGTGTTTTCAATATATTTCAACTCGATTTCAAACTTCACTCCTCGCCCATCAAAATATCAATTCGAAACCTTGTTTCGTAAATAACTATTTTCATTCGATCATTTTTCTTTTCGAGTACGTATTTTCTGACACAGTTCATCAATTTCAATTCCATTTCAGTTCCCGTTTCGATATCGAACAACGAGCTCGCGAACAGCATCGAAGAAGAGGACGAGGATAACGAAATACCCATCCTCGAAGACGATTCCACGACACACGGATTGGAGAGATTAAGTTCGGCGGCTACATGTCTGGTGGCAGGGGTCGAATACACTCATGGGCAACAGGTAAGAAACTCATTTCGATTGCTGCTCGTTATTTCCTGTTCGATATCCTAGTTTACGAGGGAAAGGATAAGTGAAATGAAAGACCCAGCTTTTGATATAGGAAGGTTTTGAGATACGTATCGTTTTTGGGATACCAGGACAAATGTTCGTGATATCAATAGAAAAACTGACGCTATTATTATATTATTATACTGTTGTTATAGGTATTAGTTATAGGTAATAGAATAAGGAACACTCATGTTTGTTGTTAGTTACGAAAATACAAAGTTGAATGAATGAGCTCTTATGAATGACCACGTTAAAGACATGATGTCAAGGGACATGCTGGTTCATACTAGAGCATGAAGGAATCAATATCAATGGCGGATAATCTTTTGTTTGTTGATCACAAGTTGGTGGTACCTTCGAATCTAAGAACTGAAATGTTGAGTTGAAGGATTCATATGAAGGGCATATGAGAATGGAAAAAATGAAAATATGAGCAAGGCAATGCATTTTTTGGCCAGGAATGACAAAGAGCATAAGAAATGAAGTAATAAGTTGTGAAACTTGTAACAAATTTCGAAATAAAAATAGAAAAGAAACACTCATTTCAAACGAAGTTCCTAATAATGCTAGGAAAAAAGTTGCTACTGATAGGAATTTGTAAAAATAGCTGAATAGCTACCCATAACAATTATAGCAGGCAAAAAAAACCTGAAATGAAATAACAGTCAAATAAAATACAAGTAAAAAATATAACAATTGAAAGAAAAATAAAAAAATAACAAAAAGACACAAGTTACTTCACGACGTTTCGATTGCTAGTATCTATAATCATCTTCGGGTGAATTGATTTCAATCTAAGAGACACCGGTGGACAGGTTTCAGCCTATTGGGCATCGTCTGTACCGGGCAGGCGGTCCTCGATTGAAGACAAAATGAGAAAAACCAAGAAAGTACTTGATAAAAATAGCTGCGTAAACGCAAACGGAACATAAGTGGAACCACCTATTGGTGTGTCACCTATTGACATGTCAGTGTTGGTGGTTTGACCAATCAACCGACAACTGCGGTAGCAGTGATTAAAATAGCTATGTTTACGCAGCTATTTTTATCAAGTACTTTCTTGGTTTTTCTCATTTTGTCTTCAATCGAGGACGGCCTGCCCGGTACTGACGATGCCCAATAGGCTGAAACAGCTGTTCTACCGGTGGCTCTTAGATTGAAATCAATATGGGAATGATCAAAGAGTACTTTTATACGAGAAACCAATCCAAAATCGGCTGCTCTCCGTCCAGCCATGAGTTGAAAACTCTGGCCAGATGACGGTGGGTGCTTGGTAGTTCTTTCTCTCAATGGGTGTTCAGCCCATCTGGGTCTGGAGTAGCAAAGTTCGTGGAACCTACAGGGGCTCTTCGAATATCATTCGAGGTTATCGGGTTGCGCAGTGAATTCAGCTCTCTGCTGAAAATTTACAACTGCGCAAGGGCTGGTGTGTCTTGGAGGCCCTTGAAATAAGTGAAACCTCAGGTTTTTCGTGATACTTCTCTCTCGCCTCACCAGTGACTTCTTAGCAGCCACTAGTATTCGTTTCCTATCGAGTCTATGCTGTTTGGTGGTCGGCAGCACGATCTGGATCAAAGTGTGATGGATATGTCGTTGTTTAGCAGATATTCGCCGCACTGCGGGCATGAACGGTCTGTGGCCGCCCTGTAAATTAGATATGAGACGCGTGTAGTCTCGCCAGCGTGATTTCATCCGTTCAATCGTCAGAAACGCAAGGCCGAGATTTTATCCCTTCGATTCAGAAAGCGATTGGACGACGCTGTACATGGCGCGTCAGTGGTAATTTGCTAGATATTAGCCTCTTCTGTTAGAACACTATGAACCTTTGCGTCCAAACAAACTAGTTTCCATTGATTCAGGGGCCTGTTTCTGTGGAGCGTCTCTCGTATTCTGATTATACCCATTGATGGAATGATGCGAGTCTCCTCTCCAGTCATGCAAATGGGTGGTAGAACTGTCACTTCCACCACTGTTTCAGATGAGATACGTAATCCCTAAGGTTTTGGGCGGAGAAAGCGGCATGCTCCGGATGTGCTTGGCACTACCGCCATGTATCCTCTTCGCACGGGCTCCCTTCAGCTTGTCAAAACTAGGAAGAGACTTGAGAATTCTATCTCTCTCTTTCTATCTCTCTCACACAGTCTCCTAACGAACGCGCATCTTAGGGGAGGTGCTAAGCCGAAACTTCGAAGTCGCTTCATAGATTTGACAAGCTGTACTTATGACTATTATCACCCCCAATCAAACTATTATTATGATTATTATCAAAATGTAGAACATTTCTCGGAAAGTAGAGTAGTATTCATACGAGTTTGAGCAGGACCTCGAATCGATCAGAGCTTTCACGCACCTTCGAGCTTTTTTGAATCATGAGGGGGTCCTGATCCCTTTTATCCACTTAGAAGCAGATTCATAAAAAACGGGTAAAAGTGCCTTTAAGTGACTAAAGAAATGCAATCGAAAAGTCTAGCTAACTTTACAACCCCGTAAAGGTTGATATTTGAATAACACTTAATATCGTAAGTATATCACATATCCAATGATTTTCTGGGCGTATAAAAATAAGTATATTTTTGAGTGATGTACTGATGTATCCAAAACATTAGAAACAAAACGTTTCATTTATATATAACTACAAATAGGTGAGTACATATTTGAACATGAAGTTATTAGTAATTTAACTTTATTTTAAGGTAATACCAAAGATTGCTTGTTTATTATATGTCTATGACCATCATCTGGAAGATAATAAAATTCAGTGATATTTATGGCATTACAAACACATCTTACCAGAGGTTATTTTTCATTTTTTTGATCGTTTGCGATATTATGACCGAATACATACATTTCACCAAGTTTTCTCATCAACTGTGAATTGATAAAAATATACTTTTTTGAAAAAGCTCACTTCCATAATGATAATATTACTTGATAATAAAAATTGAAGAGTTATTCGTGATTTCAAATATCACTATCATTAAATATCATATGAAGAAATGGAAAAATCAAATAATTATTACTAACTCACCAAGTCAGATATTTCATATTAGGTATATTATAACTCACTTGAGAAAAATAACTTTTCAAAAATTAATATTTATTGAATATGGAAAACAGATCTGTATCCCCAGAGATGAGTAGTAACAGTATGACAACTAGAATAAAACTAACTTTATTACGCCACGCAGGACGTTTTTATATGAAAAAATATCATGAAGTAAGCATCTAGGTGAACAAAGAACAGTAAACGGCGCCTGGGATCTTTCTGGAACTGCGTAGGTGCCGGATGTTGATTCAGCTATGTTCTTGAGTTGGTCACCTTGGAGATGAATGGTAGAGGTCAGCCATGGGCCAAAAAAGTTGGTTCCTTATGAAGCAACTTTTGGGCTGTAAAGTATAAAAAATATATTAGTAATCGTCTAATGTGATTTCCTCGTCCTCGGGAATCTCATCTTGAAGGCTAGGTCTTCTTCTTGGGAACATACTTGTAAAACGCTTAAAAGGCCTGAAGGGTCTTGGAGGCGGTGGTGGGTTGTTGACATCTGCAATTGCTAGGCTGCTGGGACGTCTTCTTCTGAATTTACAAAAGGTGTACAAAATTATTAACACAATAATTAGCGTAATGGTGAAGTATGTAAACCAAGAAATATGTTTGGTTACATATGGTTGATTCATCAAATCATCCAGGGTTTTGGAATACGAATCAAGTTTGTGTTTGGCAATTTCCAAATCATCGACATTCAAATCGTGCAATTTCAATGGCTTCAGTTTTGGAATACTTGATTTGTCCGGTAGGTTATTGCAACATTCGTATGGTATTAAGACTGGATGTGATCCATACGAGATATTTGAATATTTCAAAAATCTGGAATCAGCTTGAATTTTTGTTACTCCAATAAAGGCACTGCATTCCATTTCAAGGGTTATGAGAGAGTTTTTGTTTATTAATTCCGTTTTCACTTTCTTTTCGGGACAGTTTATAGTCACTTGTAAAGGTTCCGAGAGTATCACTAGCCATAGGTTCGTTTCAATTTTGTGCACTTTATAATTCTGACTGAAAAATAAGGAGCTCTGACAGTTGGTTGGAACGTTTTTCGTGTACTTGAAAATTTGGGCTTCACAAATTGAGTTTTGGTTAATCGGATATGCGAACATATTGTAACACAGTTTAGTTTGGAATGTCAATGTCTTACACGCACTCATATCCGTGATTGGTATGAACATTGAAGAGTCATCGTCTTTCACGATATATTGTTGTGAAATTTGCAAAATATGATGTAGCCCTGTTCTATCATCAAATATTGGAATGGGGTACACATGGTATAGGGTATAAATTGGAGGTTCAGTCAATGGGATTTTGAGTACAAATATTAGGTTGTGCTCAGTTTGAAAGGCTTCTAGTTCGATTATTTCGAGATATTGAGCTATTTTGTCCAATTTTGGTTGGAGAGGAAGGTTATTTCTTCTTAAATTTTGAGAAATTTCTAGTAGTGCATTTATTAAGTGATCAGATGTTATGATTGACGAGTGAATAATATTTAATCTTGCAAATGTAATTGAATCCAAGGCGTCATCAACGTTTTCTTGAATAAATAAAAAGCTTTCCATAAGTTTTTCACAAATTTTTATAAATTTCAATTTTGCTTCCACTTGTGTTATTCTGTCGTTCAGTTCTGTTATTGACCTTTCTATAACTCGAATGTCTTCATTAAATGTTGTTTCATCCATTTGCAATTTTCTTATTGTTATATTGAAATTTTGAATAACAGAAGTAGTAACGGATATTTGATTTTTTAATAAATTCTCTAATTGATGTTCATCGTTTAAAATTCGCCATCTGAAGCGTCAAGATTTCCAGTAATTGACTTAAAAATAGATCCAATGCCATTTACGAGACCACGTTTATTTCGTCTAGGGTGTTTTGCATCCATTGCAATTTCACGAAACTTATC